TTATATTAAATTTTTATTATTAATAAAATTTTAATATTAATAAATTTAAATAAATAAAAATATACTAATTTATATATTTATTTGATTAAATTAATACCGAATTGAAATCAATTTTAAACTGATTTATGATTATTTAAGCTTTGAATTAATACTGAATTATTTATCTAATTGGAGTTAATTAGCAGTTTTTAGACTAATTATAGTTGAATTTAAGTTCGTAATTTAAATAATTATAAAATATGAACAATTAATCATAAATAATATTAAAATTAATTTAATTTCAGCTATCTGATTTTTAGTTAATTTGAAGTATTTTGATTAATATTATTATTTTTATATTTTTAGAATAATTTAAGATTATATTTTTAATTTTTATTATTAACTATTATTTTTTAAATAATTTTAAAAATTTTAAGAGAAAATAGATTATATTTTATACTTTTTTTAAATCATAGTAATATTTAATAATAAATATTTGAAATAATTTTAAAGGATTTTGAATTACATTTTTATTATTTTATTATATTTTATTTTTATTTTTTTTTTAGATAATAATAATATTATAATGATAAATATTTAAGATAATTTTAGAAAATTTTACAAGAAAAAATAAATTATATTTTTATCTTTTTGTATAGTTTTTTTTTTATTTTTTATTTATATTTTTTAATAAAAATTAATTAGTAAATTTAAGTAATATTTTATTATATATTTGTGAATTTTATTAAGTTTATTATTATAAAATTTTAATATTTAATAAATTAAATAAAATATATTAATTTTATATATTTATTTAATTAATGAGTTGAGGCTAATTTCAAATTAATTTATAGTTATTTAAGTTCTGAATTAATATTAAATTATTTGACTAATTAAAATTGATTAACAGTATTTTAAGTTGATTTATAATTAAATTTAAATTCTAAATTGATACTGAATTAATATTATAATTAATTTACATAATATAATATAAATAATAACATAATTGATATAGTTGATATAATTAATATATTTAAATATTTAAGATAGTAAAATAGTTAAAATAATTAATATAGTTGAAATAGTTAAAATAATTAAAATAATTAATATATAAGATTTTGTAATAGAAAGAGAGAAAACTATTAAAAAAAAAATTTTACTTTTATATGCTAAATAAAATTTTAGATTAAATTATATTTAAAATTAATATTAACTTATTTTTTATTTTTTCAGCTATTTTACCCTTTTCTATTATAAAAATTATATATTATTTTATATATTTTAAAATATTTATATAGAATTCAATTCTTTAAAATTTTTAAGTAAATTCATTTAGTAGAATTTTTTTAGTAATTATTTTTACATACTTAGACTATTAGATAATACTTAATTAATTAAATTTTATCTTTAATTAAATAATTTCTTTATTTCTTTTATTTCTTTTATTATTATTATTTTTTTATATTTTCTTATATATTATTAATAAATTTTTATTGTAAAATATTAATTTATGTAATTTCTCTACTCTTGTAATAAGTAATCATATATAAAATATAAATATTTAATATAAATTTTATTAGTACAAATCATATATTTTTATTATATAAATTTAAAAGAATCAATCTTTAACACCTATCTAATTATCATAATTTACAAGAATTACATATTAATAATATTAAATTAAAACTAATTTTAGGCTTATTTATAATTACTTCTATATTTTAAATTGATGCTAAATTTTTTTAAAATTGATTAACAATAATTTAAATGATCAGAAAATATGACTAATTACTATAAAATATTATCAAAATCAGCCTATACTTAATCATCTAATTTTTAGCTGATTTAAACTATTTTAATTAGTATTACTAAATATCTAAAAAGTTATTTATTAAAAAAAATTATTTTTTAACAGTTATAATATAAATATTTATGTTATTATTAGATTTAATTTAATTATTTTAATATTTAAATTAAAAGAAGCTATAACAATTAATTTTACTTATTAGATTCTATAATCTTAAGATATATTTTAAGTCTTTTAAATATCTATTATACTCAAAATAATTTTGTAATTTATATTAAAACTTAAAATTTATTTAGTTGAATTTAATAAAGAATTCAAAAGTAATTACAGTTAACTCTTAATATAGCAAATTCTTGATATAATAAATGTTTTGAATAAATAGAATAAAATACTATTATTATAGTAAATTGGCCAATCAAATCTCTTAAAATCTTCACTATAGTTTTATAGTGAAATTGAGGTTTAGAAAATAGAGTTCTTTATAACAAGAGTTAACTGTAATATAAAATATTATAATTAAAATTACTTTTTTAAGCCTATTTTAGATTTACAAAATATCTAACCTTTAATTTTGCTATTTTTTTTACTAAGATTTTAATATAATTCACTATTTTTATAAATTTTGATATAGTTTTACTTTTTTTTAATTTTGCAGATTTAAGTAAATGTTTTAATATAATTTTACCTTTTACTATTTAAATAATCTGTAAATTTCTAGATTTTGTCTAATAATCTTAATTATAATCAATTTTAAATAAAAGATAATGTAAAAAAGAAAAGTATTTGTATAAATTTTAAACTGATTTTTTTATTTATAACATGAAATTTATAAACTTTTATATTTGCTAAGTTTAATTTTACAATTTAACAAAAAGTAAAATATTTTATATAAAATTATTTTATTATAATTAATTATTTACTAAATTATAAAATAATTAAATCTTCTATAATAAATAAAATTAAATATAAAAAATATAATAAAAATAATAAAAATAATAATTAAAAATAAAATAATAATTATAATAAAAATAATAAATATTTAAAGAATTTAAAGAATTAAATAAATTAAATAAATCAGATAAATTTTATAAATTTTACAAATTTGATAAAATTAACTTAATTTCTTATATAATATATTAATTATTTTATATAACATTATTTTTAATAATTTTATTTTTAATATTATTTAATATTAATAATATAATTAAGATAATCAAGTATTTTCAACTTTTGAATTAAAAGAAAAATTTTTTTAAAGAATAGAAATATAACTGAAATTTATAAGCTTATAATATGATATGCTTATTAATTTTGAATTTAGAATTATTTTTTTTTGATTTTATTTTAATTTTATCTACTTAATGAAATATTTATGCTATAAAAATTTCTTATATAGTAAAACATTTTTTAGATAGGTAAATAAGTATCTAATAGAAATATAGTTAATTTTCTATAAATACATTCCTCTTGAGACTAGGTATAAGGATACATTTAAAAAATGTATACATTTATAAAATACATATTAATCTATATAATATTAATTTAAAATTAAGATAATATAAAAATTTATAAGTAAATTATATAAAATTTTTATAAAGAATACGTTTACAGAGAGTATATGTATAAAAAACGTATATTTAGCATTATTTAAGTTAAGACTAAATAAAAAGGTGTATTTATAAAGAATGTGTATTTATAGAAGGTTGACTGTATTACTAGATTTATTGTACATAAAATATTAACATATTGCTTATAAAAGTATAAAAAAATTCTTAATATTTAAAAAATTTCTTAATATTATAAATATTTGTCATTAAAATAACTTAATAAAATTTTATTATATTTTGAAAAAGATTATTATTTTTTAAATAAAGTTAAAAGATTAATAATAATAATGACTAATCTTTTAAATTGTTTGATTTGATAATATAATCTAAAGTTCAATACAAATGTGATATTTCTATTACCATTTTTCTAAAAACTATAAATGCTATTTTATATTATATGAAATCTTTGCAATAGAAAGAAGAAAATTGCTAAAAAAATCAAGTTTACTTTTATATGCCAAATATGATTTTTAGGTCAAAATATATTAAGATTTAGCATTAACTCATTTTTTATTTTTTATAGCTATTTTCCTCTTTTCTATTGCAAAGATTACATATGTTATAGAGATTTTTAAATAAGTAAAGAATTAATTAATCATAATTAGAAAATTGGTTAAATTTATAGATCTATCAGTAATCATAAATACATTATATAATTGCAGTATTGGTATAATGCTTGATGAGATAATCATTTAATTTAATAGTAACTGTAACAACAAAAGTCTGATTTTAGATAAATGAATAAAGAGTAGAATATAGCTGACTATTAAAATAAGCTGTAACTTTAAAGTTAGTTAAGCTTAAACTAAAAATCTTAAGCCTTGACCCAATCCTAAGCATCTTCAAATATATATATATAAAATAAACTTTAATTGTAAAATAAAAATATTATTAGCATTATGAATATAAATCTTAATATTTAAACTATTTATACCTGTATACTATTCAAGGGGAGATTATTAAAGGGGTAGCACTAAAGAAGAAAGTTATCGGTTTCACTTATTTCAAGATAGAGTTCATTTGAGAAAGCGAGGGTTTGTGTTCGCAGTTTTCAAACTGTTGTTAAGCACAGTCAAAAGACATTCTGAAAATGTGAAAAAAAGATACAATAATATATTATACAGTATATATTTCAGAAAAGTGTGTTCTAAAAGTGTGAAAAAATAACGTGTATGGCTTTTCGCTTCAAGTCTAGTATCCGATTTCATTCAAATATTAAATGATATTCAATATTTATTTATAGACATTTTTACACGTTATAAGATTAGTCCGGAAAAGGGGAATAGAAATCAAATGTAATCATCTAAAAATTTTCACAAATCTAGTTACTTTTTGCATCATTTCCTTGGCACGAAAGAGCAGTTTTCCAACATCTTTGGTGATTCTAAATTGCGATTTTCACAATGGAATCACGGATTATGTAATGAGCTTCAAAAATATGCTATTTTAGATTATCTAGTATTTATAATTGCAGTGACAATATGACAATATGCCTATATTTTTCAAAATGTAACAGTAATCTAATCACGTGATTATAATTAAAGAAAATTTTTATATATTTTTTGACTTTCAGTCAAACGGTCAAGTATTTTTGACAAAGTACAACAATGCAATACCACGCTTTCCCAGTGCTTAATCAGCAATTTTTAGTTGATACTAAATATGAGTTTATGCGCGAATTGGGTCAAGGAGCCTATGGTGTAGTTTGGTAATTATTTTTCACTTATTAAAATCATGCATTTTTTGCATTTTTCCTTTGATCGTAATGAATTTAGCTAGTAAAATTTCACAAATTTTTATTATTTCTAACATTTCCGCTCGAAATCGTATTTCATTAAAAAAAAAAAAAATAGTGCAGCAAAAAACACCGAAACTGGTGAACAGGTGGCAATTAAAAAAGTAACAAAGGTCTTTGAGAAAAATATTCTGGCAAAACGCGCATTGCGAGAAGTGAAACTATTGAGGCATTTTAACGGTCATGAAAACGTCAGTTCAAATTTATTTTATTTATTTATTTATTTTTTTTACCTGCGATGAAATCTCAAATTATTAGTGTGTGAAATTTGCTTACTTTATATATTTGTTGATAACGTCATCTAGATTACATCGATTTTAGACATGGATATTACCAATGTTCAAGATTTCAACGAAATGTAACGTACAGCATCCGACAGTAATCAAAATTTATATTATTATTTAATGGTTATTTAAAACAATTTCGTTTTAATTATATACTTGAATTTTTTACAATACTTATTTTAACTTTGTAAAAAGTTATTTATTCCAAGAGCTCATGGAGGCTGACCTTCACCAAATTATACGATCCGAACAACCATTGACTGATGCGCATTTTCAATATTTTATATATCAAATCTGTCGAGGATTAAAATATATTCATTCGGCTAATGTCTTGCATAGGGATTTGAAGCCTGGTATGTTGATCTGTTAAAAGACATGTTTATTTAACATGCCAGGGAAGATTATGTTAAAATATACACATACCATTTATTATATCAGCTGCAATTATAGTTAATATTACGACACGCGTAAATGAATTTGATTTGAACTTTACATGATTTCTTTGAACGTTTTGATCGGTATAAGTCTTATTTCATATGTTAATTATAATTTGTATTATTTAGGAAATCTATTAGTAAATGCAGATTGTGAACTTAAGGTATAAAGACCAATAATAGATAATCGATTCTTCGAAATTTTGTGCCATTAGATGAGGAAAAAAAAAAAAAAAAAGAGGAATTTTAATTTCGTGCGACTAGTTATTTTCGTGATAGAAGTTGAAAGTTAAATCTTTTTGAATATAATGAAGAAATAGTTTAAATATGTAATTCATCATATCGTGGACTTTTCTTAATATCATCATATTTAAATATATTTTACTTTAATCAATAGATATGTGATTTTGGTCTTGCACGTGGTTTCTCTGATTCACCAGATCATAATGCTGGTTTCATGACTGAATATGTCGCGACGAGGTGGTATCGGGCACCCGAAATTATGTTGAGTTTTCAGAACTATACAAAAGCTAGTATGGTTTAATGTTTTTATTATACGAATTTGTTTTGCAATTCTAAAAATTTCATTATAAGATTAAACTTAATATATGTATATATATATTATTTTTATTTAATATGTTAAGTTGATATGTGGTCCGTTGGTTGCATCTTTGCTGAAATGTTGGGCGGGAAACCTTTATTTAAGGGTCGCGATTATGTTGATCAATTAAACCAAATTTTAGGAATCTTGGGTACACCCGATGAAGAAACTTTGAGGAGAGTTGGAAGTGATCGGGTGAATATGTATTATGGATTTTATGGATTTAAATTAATTTAATTGATAAGAATTTTAATGAGTGATAAAATTATGTTATTAGGCTCAGATTTATATTCGTAGTTTACCAAGAATGCCAAAAATTCACTTTTCAACACTTTATCCAAAAGCAAATCCTTTAGGTAGGTTAATAATTAAAGCTAGCTTTAAGTATATGATTTTTTTGGATTGTCATTTCTAACTTCATTTTTTTGTAATTTAGCTCTCGATTTACTCGAAAAACTCTTGAAATTTGATCCCGCAACTAGGATTACAGTGGAGCAAGCACTAGCACATTCATATTTGGCAGCATATCATGATGAAGAGGATGAGGTATGCTTAAAAATGGTTATTGTATTGCTTTTTTGTTGAACAATTTTACTAACTAAAAGGTTTACAGCCTGCTCATGAACATATGTTTGATTTTTCGTTTGAATCTGTAGATTTAATAGAAGATATGAAAAGTGAGTTAATGATGAAACGTTACTTAATGGATTTTATATATTGATTTCTTTTAATTTATATAGAAATGATTGCCCAAGAAGTTATGTCTTTTAAAGCTTCAAAACAAGCAGCCTTGGGTTTAAATGGAGCGCAACTGGGTCGTAAACCAAGGTGATCAGCATTTTGAAATTCAAATATATTTTTTTTTTCCTTGGTTTGATATTAACCGACTTGAATCGTATATATATATACAACTAAATATTAGTTTATCGGCTCCTGAACGTGATCTATTATCTCAACAACGTCAACAAAATAATAATCGTAATTCCATATATGAATATGGCGCTGCTAGCCAACACGCCGCCATTCCTTCAGCAAGCATGGAAGTGGATGAGCAATTAGAACATGAGCTAGGCGGATTTGTTAATTAAAGTGCAAAATGTTATATTGTGGTTGGTCGTTCGCGTTTTTGTTGTCATAAGCAATTCATTTCTTTTTTCTGGAAAAGCGATTATTTGATTATACAAGTTCATCTTCCGATAACCTACCGATTCCAATTTTTGTGTGATTTTATAATTTAATTAAGAAAAAAATGGAGAAACCTATCTATTCTGTATTTTTTACACGTTTTTTTTTTTTAAAAAATTTTTTTTTTTCAATAAATCAGTACTAATAAACCTGTACAGATTATACAAATATATAATTATAAAATTCAAAATTATATTTTGTATCAAACAATTAAAATTACATTTTGTTTTGAAAAATCCGTGTTACATAAATATTAACCAATCATGTAATAAAGAATTTGTTACAGATTCTATCACCGATTAAATCTCATGCTTAAAAGCATTTCTTTTTTTTTTTTTTTTTTTTTTGAATATTTTTAATGTATTGACATGGAGACACCCATAACTAAACACAAATCCAGAGCTTCATTAGGTAATACTATTAAACGTTCTATACGATCGACGCGTAAAGATCCAGGAAGTGCTGGTAAAAAGCGCAGAGTAGTAAACGCTACGCAAAAAAATATTGCTCGTGCGCTAAAAAATGGTAAACCGGTTAGCATTGAGTCAGCAAACACGTCTGCCTATGAAGGGCGTATTACCAGAGCGAGAAACGCGGCCTTAAACGATGCATTTAAGGAAACTCCATCCCGAATGGTAAGGTTGTATTAATAGCAAGAGTATATTTTAGTAAGTGTACTTACTTTTTATACAGATTCTGATTTTAACATTATGGTTTATTACGATAACAGTTGCGACAATTATCTAAAGTTTTGTCTAGGCCTCCTGCAGAATGTCAAACCCCAAGACGAAATTCTATTAGAGCAGGAACACAGACAACTCCTGGTTCAGTACGTCTTACACCAAGTTCTATAAAACGGTCGGCTAAGAAATCGAATAATAAAAGTAAAAATGCAGTTACAACGAAAAAGCAATCACCACAAGACTTATTAAGACAATTGACTCGAGGTAAAAAAAAAAAATTAAATAAATTCGTTCTATTAATAGGATGGCACATTAAAATAATTCATTCAATCGCCAGCGCCCGGGTTTGTGCAAGAACCTAAAGAAGTTACGGTCGAGTCAATGGGAGTTTTTGTACAGGAAACAGACGATAATGCCATTACTAGCATTGATCCTAATATAACTAAAAACTTACAAGAAAATAACCTAATGGAGAGTACAGAGCTCGAGGAGCAAAATAATGTTCAAATACAGCAATTCGTCGAAGAAATTGATTCAATGAATATAGAATTGCAACTTCATGACGGGATGGATAACAGTGACGACGAAATTTCTAATTATTTCGATCAAACTGAAACAATGGAATTTACGGGAGAGGTAGTCAATAATCAAAAAATGCGTATTGAATTTAATGAACCAATTCAAATCCAACCTCCAGAGTAATTATCTTATCTATCCTGTTATTACATGATATATAATTTATTAAATAATTTGTATTTTGGATTCAATGTGTCAGTGAAAATTTCAACATATTCGAAGATCAAGGATTTGAAGGTAATGCTGATAATAGTGACATCGTCGATGCATTTCATTCTCCTTTAGTCGAATCATTGGAATCCCAGGAGAGAAATGACTATGATGATCTTAATATGGAACAGGAATGTGATCAGGAATTGAATTATAGTCCAAAAAACAAAAAAATAAGGTTTGTTTCTTGATATAAAAAAAAAAAATTCCTAAAAATTTAAGTAGCTTAACCTTTGAACTTTCCCTGATATTAGAGCGAGTAAACATACAGGAATAGCACGGCTTCCAAATTCTTTGATTAAGAGTCTATTTAATAAATGTTCTAATTTCAAAGTGTCAAAGGAGGCTATGCAAGCAGTATTTGATGGGTGAGTGTAATGCTAAATGATGTACCTATTAAATTTCCCGATTAATATTTATAACACTTATTATTTAGGACTCAAGAATATTTCGAGCAAATTTCAAATGATTTGAACACATATGCATCACACGCGAATAGAGAAATTATTCAAGAAAAAGATGTACATTTATTAATGAAAAGGTATCTTCAGATCCATATTAAACTAACAAATTAATGTGCGTATACTAACTTTTACCATCCATTAAAGACAAGGATTAATTACAGAGAAGAGTACTTTTGAATCTTTAGTGGAACAATATTTACCGCGTGAATTATCTGATGAAATTTGCCCATATGCTCGCGCCGGAAATAAAGTCTATCCCCCAATTCAATTGAAAAAAAAAAGAATGAAAAAACGAGATAACTAATGGATGAAAGGTAAAACTATAAAGGTCATTGAATTTGTGCTTTAGGGTTTTTCGAAGCTAATCTGATATCCCTATTGACATATCGAATGAATCATAATACAATCTCATCCGTATTTTAAGACGTAATAAAAAAAAAAATTTTTTTATGCTGCATAAATTACATCATTTTAATAAATTCGTTTTTATCATTTTATCAACATGATTTTTCGTCATAAAAAGTATTTGCTAATAAATACAATATTTTTAAGAAAACTCCAACAATTATCTTTATATATTTCAAAAACTAAATAAATACAGGTTCAACTTAATTTGCAAACCGCCCACATAAATATTTCTGATATTAAATCTTTTTAACAATTGTATAAGGTGAAAATCTAATAATTACAAAGCACACATTTTTAAAAAAGGTAAATCTAAACATATTTTTAAAATAATATTTATATATTATAATGATTATTTTTTATATTTTAATCTATATAAAATGATTTTGATATAAAATTTATAAATTTTATTGTTAAAAGTTATTATAAATAATAGTGGGATACCACATGCGATATAAATTATATCCCATGTGGTATCCCACTTATCCTAGATTATAGTATCACATAATCTAAATATCACATATAATCTTAATATCGCATATAATCTGAATACCACATATGATCTAAATATCACATATAATCTGAATACTACATATGATCTAAATGTTGTTATCTAATTACTACATATAATTTAAATGTTGTGATCTAAATACCACATATAATCTAACATTTTATTATTTCTTATATCACTTTTACATTTTAGCTATAACTTTAAATCTTTCTTGATATTCGTATTTTTATGCTAATATACTTTTATTACCACAATATAATCTAATTGTCATATACATATAATCTAAATACTATGCTTTTCTTCTTATTTCTGAGTTGTTTACATACTAAATTCTATAATGAAGTTGTTGACCTTCTGTAGTTGTTTAGATACCTGATTTTATGTTGAAATGCTGATCTTCTGCGCCTGATTGGATGCTAGATTCTATATTAAAGTACTTACCTTTTGTGCCTATTTGGTTGACTTTCTAGATGTCAAAATGTGGTAAAAAAATATTGCATTAGGTGGCGCAGTAATTTGATGTAAATCTGCAATTAATTTTGATCAGTATTATAGCATAATTCAGGCCAATCTTTAAAACATGTGATTTGAGAATCCAGCTTGACACTATGATAGTAACTTGATTATATCCTGAAACTACTGTGAAGCTGTCATAGAACTAGTAAGGAACTATCATAGAAGTATCATAAAACTGGCAGTTTGCCAGCTTAGATATTGAATTATTATGTTCAAAGATCTATTTGAATTTATGGAATAGTATTAGCTAAAATTTTCGTTAATTTTACTATATCTACTGTGTCTACTATATCAGTTATGTGATATTATTCTATTTATAGTTATGGGTTAGTAATGAGAATATTTTCAGTACTCAATATATATGCATTTGTGCCACATATTTTTTGTATTCAGAATTGGAAATACAATATGTATTATCTTAACCCAGCCCATTTGATTGCCAAAAAGTGTACTGTTTATAATTCAACTATTGTCTATTTATTGCCAGTATATTGCGAGATGTTGTAAGCTCTTCTGAGACTTAATCATGATTTAAACTAGATTGAGACAGTGTGTATGCTATTTTTTTAAGCATCACTAGTATTACCAGTTAGTATACAGAACTAGTGACAGAATTAATGATATGTTCGTTATACTTCTTGAGGTTATTATACTATTTCATTTTTTCTTGATTAGTATTACTAGTATCACTAGTAAAAGAGTAATAAATTCTAAAAAAAAATCAAATTTTTTCTATATCATCCTATGGCCTATATGGAATATAATATGATAAATGTATGATATATATGTAGTGTATATATGCTATAAAAAATAAAAAAGTTAAGAGACTCAGATTTTTTCCAATGACATTAGTGACACCAGTGATATTCATCAAGAAGACTTTCTTTCAGCCTAGAATTCCTAAAGAGCCTATCATTCACATCACTAGCTTCTGTTACTAGCTTTTTTTTCTAATAACAAATTGTATCATTTTTGTTTACCTCTAAATTACCTATTAGTGTCCTACTAAAGTCAACTTAGTCTGCTTTTTCTGATGATAATATTTTCTTGATCTATATTTTTTTGTATGAATATACTATTTTTTCTGAACGTTCTTATGAAAATTCTCTATTTCTAAAGAAAAATTCATGAGGACACTCATAGGGACAATCTTAATATTATTTTTGGACTTCTTAATTTAATTTATTAAATTCTTTATTATTTATCCCTATGTTCCTATAAGTCCCTATGAAAAATAAAAGTTCTTAGAAAAAATTCAATTTTTTTATGATATTCTTATGGGTAAATATAATTATGTATATAGTTAATATAGTTTGTATATGTTCGATGTATAGTATATAAAAAAAATAAAAAAAAGGTAAAGAATTCAGAAATTTATAAGGACTCATAAGACATAAGGACAAGTAATAAAAATACCTTTCCAGAGTTCTAAAATTATCAAAAAAGATACTTCTAGTATTCTTATTAAGTTTTTTTGCTATCCTTATAAATTTTTCATGAGGCTAAATCTTTAATAAGTCATTAGGGCTAACTTATAGCATTAGGCATTTTCATTCTATTGAGAGCCTCTCTTATACTTCTAGAGTCAGAAAGTTAATTAATCTTACAAAGTATCTAAACGGTTATTTTTACTATATGCATTTTCCTCCTGATCTTTCTTTTGAGCTAGACATTTCTAAATCCTTTGATGCTTAATTATATTTACTACTTCATTAATATCAGAATCAGATGAATTGGACTCAGATGAACTACTCTTAGATGAGAAACTAAATTCAGATGAACTACTCTCAGATGACGAATTAGACTCAGACAAACTAGATTTAGAGGAACTAGTCTCAGATGAGCTTGATTCAAATGAACTAATCTCAGATAGAGTAAACTTGAGCAGAATATTGATTAAGGATATTAAATGCTTTTGATCACTTTCTATTTTGATTATTTATATGTTAAACTTAATATCTTTGATTGAAAATATGCAAAGTGCCTGATTCAACTCACTTCAAACTATTATTCGCTTAACTTTTCTTAGTCACACCCTCCTTTATTGCCTATGAGGGATAGCCTTTTTTTTTCTTACCTCAATTATCTCAACTGAATCAAAATTTTCAGAAGACTTAAATGAATAGAAAGAATCTTTACCTTTTTTACTAATTAGTGAAGAAACTATTTTAAGTATTAAGTTGATCATAGTTTTCCTATTTATATATTCATTCAGATCTTTTATTTTAGCTTTCAATAAATTAACCTTCTTTTTAAGACTTTATATATTTGAAATAATAATTTTTTAATTGTTTCTTAAGCTCCAAAATCTGTCTAAAGAGTGCTTTATATGCTTCTATATTCTGCTCATCCAGTTCAAATAATCAGGTCATATTTTCTATATGCTTGATAACTTCCTGCTCACTAGATATATCAGATGAATAATTTTGATCAGTTATCATTTTCATGATATTTTATATATGATATATCTTGTTTCAGATGAAAAATAAATAATATTCCACTGTTTTATAGAAACCTTTCTAGCCTATATATATAAAATTAATTTTTATCAGAGTTGTTGAATGGACTTGCTTGATCATAATATTGATCTCGCTTTTTATAATTACCTATAGTATATTTATCAGATAGAAAAACATGGTTATCAGATTAGAGATATGCTCTGAATCTGATTAATCTGGATATCTAATCATCTATTTAAAATTTGATCAAATTCAGATTGATTCATTTATATCACTAAATTGACTGGATAAATCATTGGATATCTGATAAACAAATTAGACAGTCAATTTGACTTAGGTAAGCATAAATTTTTTTTATTTTTATTTTATTTTTTTTTATAATAATGATAATATTAAATCTACATATTACATTACTCATTTACTTATACACACATATATACATATTCTCTTTTTTTTTTCTTTCACTCTCTTCTCCTGGACCTTTTACTTCAAATTTTAACTTGAACAGCTTGAATTCAAACAGTAAGTGCAAAATTCTTTTCTTTTTTATCTTAAAAATATTACTAACTTTTATTTTACTTTTTTTCTTTAGAAAACGCCTTCTTGAACCTAAATTTCAGCTAGGCTATAAAGGTAAGTTAGTATTTTTATTTGTTCTTTGTCATTGGAAACATCATTAAAATTTATTTTAATTCTTTTCTTTAGAGAATACCTTTCTGAACTGCATTTCAGCTTAGGCTATGAAGGTAAGGTGATGTAGGAGATTGTTTTTGATTTTCTTTATCTTTGAAATATCATTAACATTTCTTTTCTTGTGGATTTTTTTTTATTTTCTTTGCTTTTAGAATGTTATTAATATTCCTTTTACTTTTTTTCTTTAAGAGACATCTTTCTGAACCTGGATTTTAGCTTAGACTATAAAGATAAGTAATGTAAGGGATTGTTTTTATTTATTCTTATCTTTAAAATACTATTGACATTCCTTTTGCTTCATTTTTGTAGGTTTTTTTGTTTTTTTTGTTTTTAGAATACTATTAATGTTCTTTTTGCTTCTTTTCTTTAAAAGACGCCTTCCTGGACCTGAATTTCAGCTTAGGCTATAAAGGTAAGGTAGTATAAAGAATTCTTTTTTGGTCTTTGAAACATCATTAATGTTCCTTTTGTTACTTTTCTTATGGGATTTTTTATTTTCTTTATCTTTAAAATACTATTAATGTTTCTTTTATTGCTTTTTTGTGAAATTTTTTTTTTTATCTTTAAAATGCTATTAACGTTTCTTTTACTTCTTTTCTTTAGAAAATGCCTTTTTGAACTTGGATTTCTACTTGAACTATAAAGGTAAGTGGTGTGAGGATTATTTTTGTTTCTTTTTTGTCTTTAGAATATTATTAATATTCCTTTTGCTATTTTTCT